GGGTACCATTTTTAAATACGAATTCGAAATTAAAAAATCTGATGTGTACACCACATGACTTCCTTGTACGGAATATTAAATTATACACATTCTTTTTTGCATTTCATTTAAACTTATTAGATTGAATTAAACCTACTTCTCCCACAGCGCAAAAACCACAATAGAATAAATGCATTCTTTAAAATTCACTTTGTTTACCATAGCGACACTCTGGCGCTAGGTTTACTTAACAGTATTATATTTCGTTCATATTATAACTCAGAATGCACAAAATTTATATCATTTAAAGAATTATCTAATCGTTGCCACATGTTCTATTCAAATACTATAATAAAGTTAGAATGATGTATAAAAGAAATTAAGCAAACAAAACAAAACAGAAACAGTTTTTCACAGACGATTGAGTATTTCTCATTTAATTAATTCAGTTCTAACTTCGCGAGAAGGTAAAAATACATAAAAACTCAAAATATCTATATTAAAAATTACGAAGTAAATCTGAAACACTTATTTATTCGAAAAAATTCCAGAAAGAATTAAGCATGATTTAATTGGCAATAATAAATTAAAGCGTTATCTTTGTTGTTGCGAAGATAAATTTCTCTAGATTGGCAACAAATCCACTAGTCTCCTGTTTCAAATGTAAACATCAATGGCCGCCATTAAAAAAAGGCTTAGCGGCACTTAGACAACTTTAAAATTGTTGATAATTCAAAAAATATTGCACACAGATTTACTAAAGGCATAAAACCCTTAACCGGAAGATAAAAACAACATAATTCAATCATTTTTAAAGCAAAAATGTACAATTTACAAACATATAAGAGTAAAGAAACCGAGATCACTGAGCCGGGTAACAGAGTAGATATATATATATATAAATATATTTATATACGTTTGGTGCGGCCGATTGCAACCAAAATACGAGGTGCACATCTACATGTTATGGCAGTCCTATATACAAAATTTCAACGTTCTGAGGCTACTCGTTTTTGAGTTACGCGAGATCCGTACGTACGCACGCACGTACGTACATACGTTCGTACAGACGCCACAAAAAATTCTCTTCAGAATTTATTTTAAAGCAGTTTTATAATTTTTTTTGAAGGAAAAGAGTATTTTATTCTGTCCTTACGTACAGACATCACGCAAAAACATCGTTAAATTGCATTCGATAGCGGTCAAAATGGATATTTTTTTTTTCGTTGAAATATGCTGCCTGAAACTTTTCGCGATTACAATACTTCCTTTTACTTCGTATAAGGTAGTAAAAAGGAAAGCAAAGTTCTAGAAGTTACAAGGTTACATATGACTTTTTCAAAGCCCGAAGTGAAGATATTATAATGTAACAAAATAAAGGCATTCCATCATGTGTGCTTTTGTCATCCACATGAACGGAATGCATCATATTTTTCAGACTCCGAATTCCAGCAGTGAGGCAAATACGGAAAATAAACTTTTTTTTTCGGGGGGGGGGGGAAATAGTGATTGTCTATGTCGAGAACTGTCTCTCTCCCAAATCTTAATGCTCCCCGCAAACTGTATCAGCGTCCTTTTGCTATAAAATCAATTAATCACTATTAAATGTCCAGTCAATGGTAAAAACTGCTTGCGACATTTAAATTGAAGTAAATAAAGATCACGTATTTTATTTGCTCAATGAAATCGCATTAATACTTTCGAACAGGTATCAGATATTTTCAAGAAGAAATCTTGCATAGAACAAAAATATTGATAAAGCTTATATCATCATTAAATTTTTAAATATAAATAACAAACAGCTGTCTGTAAACTTTAGATTACGGTATTAATATCTTTAAGAATTTTACCATTCATTTTTCAAAAGTTAAAAATACCTATTTAAAAAATATTAATCATAAAATTTAAAAGAAATTGTTGTCTGATCTTGGTATGCATATTTCCGTTTAACACCTGAAATTATAGACATCATAGGAAAATTTTCTCTGCAAAGTGACACCACGTGAAGACTCATGCACTTATGTAACAAAGAATATATTTAATTATTCAAGGCATAGCTATGCATTTATTTCACTGTATCACTTGCAAGTAATTCCTTTAAGTGTCAATATTTTTTTTTATTTTAAAAAAACACAAATTCGCTTTCTAAAAACAGTAAACAGTGCATCTTGAAGTTCCCTAATAACAAATTAACAATTAAACAGTTAGCAGAAAGTGTGAATTTTAATTCTGTTATTAATTGCAATCATAAAACATTTTGTGAAATATCTTTGTGATGCTTTATTTTCTTTTAAATTTTGGTTTAAATTAAATTAATATGTAAAACGTACAAAATAAATTTATGCTGGCAGGTAAACAAATACTTAGGCTGCGAAAACTAAGAAATAAGGAAAATTTTTAATAACTTATTTGCTGCAGGCTTCGTATCTGTAAACTAAAAAATTCCAAAGACACTCTAGTTTTACAAATTACACTGAGTTTCAAAATGTCCCCAAGGAAAGATAAACCTTGGTACGTGGAAAAAAGAGATCTCATTGAAGTTGAACTATACAATCATCCTTCTCCAAAAACCTTTCCCTGAATACTTCTTCTCCATCAAATTAGAAAGAAAGGGCAATAGCTCCCAGCAGAATAGAAAATGAAAGGAAACTATCTTCACTTCTCAGTCAGCAGAGTAGTCACGTTTGTTGAATCTAGAAAGTTTGAGTTTTCTGGTACATGTGGCACAAGAAGCACGACTTAAAAGATAAATCTACTCGAAATATATCGACTCCCATTAAGAATTCGAAACTCATTCCCTATATATCTCGTAAAGATGTGACCTCATTCTAATTGTCATTAACACAATATCTCTTGATAGATGTGCATTAAATAAAGTACATTTTAATGTCGCGCGAACCTTTTTGTTAATTTTCTCTTGCCTAGGTAAGGCAAGTGTTATTAATTTTGAACTGTACATTCGATTATAATAATATTATTAAATTACTGTTCTATATTGATATTTAGTCCTTAAAATCATAAAGTGGAGAAAATTTAAAATTTATCTTTTCTTCTATCTGTACTATTAAAATCTGTGTGCGTCTGTTTTTTTTTTTTTTTTTTTTTTTTTTTTTTTTTTTTTTTTTTTTTTTTTTTTTATGACGGGGGGAGTTGAGTTTCGAGAGGGGAAACTTTGGATTCCTAAAATTCATTGGGAAGCCATTTCCACCATTCTCATCTTCGTATGACTTTAATCAGCCGAGATATTTATTAAAAACTCTGAACACGCTAAATTTCGGCCTCATTTTTCCGAGTGGCAACAGTCCCGCACGCTGGAGATAAATATCTGCTTTATTTCGAGAAGTGTTGGTACTGCTCTCTTTCAAATCGTAAATTTTGTTAATCAAAAATTTGTAAGTTTTACAAAATTTGAAATAAAAATAGTACTGTCAAGCATTAAACATATTATTATCACATAAGGTCATAGTCTGACGTTAAAGAAAGCATTCAATTGCATGTGACGTCATTATATGTCAAAACGCTTTCGCTAATGTCAGCATTTTAAATAAATAGCTGCTGTTGGCAACGTTTTTGTTTCACGTTAGAATTATTGACATGATATGTTCTTATCAAGTTAATTCTTTTATTGATATTGAAAAAAGGTTGCTACATTACATTGAATTTAAATCATAATGTCATACGTATACGTATTAACCTGATGTGTCAAAAGTTTTTGTTTTCTGGCTTGGCAACAAAAATTTATTTACGAACTGGTTTCTGCTTGGAAAGAATAAACTTTTTTTATTGGTCGCAGTCCGCTAGTAAGATATATTTTCTGCTTTAACTCCTTTTATTTTTATATGAAAAGTGTTAGACTTCGTGAAGAAAAAGTTTACGTGTGTTGTATGTGCTACTTAAAAATAAAAATGCCCGTAACTGCATGTCAGAATGAAACTTAAGACTAAATTAGCACGATGTGAAAAATTCATTCGAATTACACATATTTGTTGTATTAACTATGTATAAAAGCGAAAGTCTCAGGTATTGCAATTCAAAATACCATACACGTAATATAAATGTAAGAAAAAAATAAAAGGATTTTTTAAAAAGCCTGAAACAGTCAACGCTGCAGACAGAATTTCTCAGTGACTAGTTTTAACCTAATTTTACTCTACAGACTTCTTTTCGTAAATATTACTAATATCTGGCTCTCCTTCAACTAGGAAAATGGTAGTTAATTAATATGATGCGTAATTTTAAAAACGGATTTGAGTAATATATCCATTAGTCTCGCTAACGTATGTTTCATTTTATATACTGCTTAATGTTCTGATGTGAAGATGCAGAATACTGGTTCATAGTTTCTTGGATGCCAGACTGCAGTTTAGTAATCTTTGAAATTTATTTCGAAGATAGATTTTTTTAATACATAGTCAAATATACAAGAGCGTGGTTGCAAATTATTTAGATTACCATTGCTTTATTTAAGAGTTATACTAAATTACATTTAAAATAACTGATACCAGACATCTGAAATATCCGAAAGGAATCCTAAAGAATTAGTTTCCAAATTTTGTGTAAGTACGCTATCCCTTGTAAAACGTAATTTTGATAAAGGCATGTTTGTTACAGAAAGCAGCTTCATATATACATATGCAGAGAGAGAGAGAGAAATGCCTGTACGGACAGGTCAAAATGTCTCTAAACTACTAGCCGAAGAATTTGAAAAATTAATTCCGAAAACTGAATTTCCTACATTGAAAATTCAATTTTCTGAATTAATTAATCATTTTGATTTCCTGAGACACTTTCTAGAAAATCGATAATAATTTCCCCGTGTTTATTTAAAAAAAGATTTGTGTGTGATTTCCCTTTTCTATTGTAACTGGAATTCATTTCCCTTGTAACTGAAACTATTTTAATAATAAACACTTTGACAGCAAACATCGTCTTTAATTCAGTCTTCAGCTTTTATCTGACCTTTCATTAGTAGCATTGATGAATTTTAAATAACCACGTTAATTGTTAATTTGCATTTGCAGCAGTGTATTGGCATCGCGAGGATCGAACGCCGGAATGGCACGAGGTCATGTCCGACTTGCGATGGGTATGGGAGGTGCACGTCTACGGGATGGCCAGCCTGTTCTCTGTTTTGTCAGTCCTCTGCTTGTTTACCGTCCTCCGGCTGCGATCCCAGCTATCGGCCAAGCCTCACCTCTCTTCGCTCAACGTCTTCCTCGGCATTCTCGCAACATCGAGACTCGTTGTCCTCTACGTAGATCCTTACGGATCGAAAGAGGTAAAGCACCTTTTCTCTTCTTTCTGCATTTCATTGCGCTGAAAAATTTTCCTTGAAAAATTACATTAGTAGCATGTAACTACTAAGTACTTTAGTATCACATTATTTATAAAATTCTCCTAAAGTAGTATATTACTATTTCTAAAATACTTCATTATCCATATGATTATTTTAACATAATTCTTTCGAGATTAAATGCAGATGTATCGCTTCTTTACCGACCCTAGTATACCGTAAATAAAAATCTTAATTATGTAGTTACTTAGACATCATCAGGAATATATACTCTGTTAATCGCTCAACGTTTTCTAGCAGCCATTCCTGATTAGAAAAAGACAGCTAACGTATTGAAGTTAGAGCGGTAAATACCAAGTATCTTCAAATGTCGAAATTTAGCGGACGACTAACGACATCTGTTAGTCAAATCCTAATCTGTCTAATACTGTTTATAATTTATTTCACTGGTTAAATGGTGAAAAGGTGGGATGAGCTCCTCATTATAGGAAGAAAAGCACAGGCCCGCGAATATCGCGGGATATGCAAATTTTGCTACATTTGAGTTGCCCGTGGAAGTCGCGGGATGAGCAGCCAGACAATTAATACATGACGGGATAAGATTATGACAAATCGCCTCCTGCATTTGTCACAGCCCTCTTAAACAACTTCTTTTAAACTGTTTTATCTTATTATCTACACTATACTCCTTGCAAATGAATGACTGAATTATAGCATTTATATGTTGTCAGGTTTATGAGACAACGAACATTTAAAGAAAACCCATTATTTTTAAAGGGAAATTATATGACAGTTTAGCCACGCCTGCTAAATGCACAATACATTTTCATTGTTGCTTCTTGTCTTCCCATGAAGGTACGTAGATTCTCATTTTAACACAAATTCGATTTGAGCTAATCAAGCAAGTCGGAAAATAACCTTTCTACAAACGTTACTCAATTTTTTTCTTTCTGGTTGCTTCCAAATGGACAACTATCTTGAATGTTATTTGCTATGAATCATATTTCTAATCAGACTGATCATTCTTAATTAAAAGCATAATATATCTGCAGGATAACTTTCTAGTACGCAATTTTGACCCTTTTATCGTCTATTACTCGATTCTCAGAGAAGAAAAAACACTAAAACACAATAAGATTGAAGAAGAAGAATTTTGTAATATAACATTCCGCTTCTTAATTGAAGTTTCAGGATTACTATTCATCTTTGGCAAATAATATGAGTTATTATTTTAATGAAATAAATATTTTCAAATTTATATCAGTATTATTATTGATTAAATTTACACTGAACGAGTAAAATGATTCATGCGCTGAACACATAACTTTTTCTACTTTTTTCAAGAATTAAATTATATTTACATATTGCATCAAACAAAGTATATTTTTGTTTATAGAGTTACATCATTAATCAAAACTTTCAGCTGAATAGAGTTTCAGTTAAATTCCTGGAATCATGCCGTGTGGGATCTACTGCTTTTAGTTAAGGTAATTATTTTATAGTTGGCGGCACAAAAATTGTTGTTAATTTAAAGTGGCGCCATCTAAGAAATAAATAAATAACTAAAAGTGTTTGATCGCATAATACACGGTTACCAAATACCTAATGCACGTTTATGCTACATTTTACCTATTTTAATAATTTTCGTTATTATTGGCAGTGAGTTAAAAAGACCTAAAAGCAAACCGAGGCTTAAATGAGAAATCGGATAAGATCCGATTGAGAAACAAAGTGATGAAATGGACTGGAAATACTTTTTTTAATTTAACATTGCAGTAAGATAAAATATCAGATTAAAGCAATTATTCCTAGCTTTCATTGAATCACAATACAGAGGGTAGAAAAATCGAGAAATCTTAAAAGGCTTTTGTATTTAGCCCTTTTGTTATTTTGACTACTTAATTTTTTTTTTTTTTTTTTTTTTTTTTTTTTTTCAGACGCTGCCCTTAGTGATCCTGCAGGTCTTTTGGGACTTAGGCTACCCATGCCTGGTCTCAGCATTTGCCTTGCTGCAGCTATATTTCGTTCGTGAGACTCGAGTTAAGATGAATCGGTTGAGCGACGAAAGCGTGGTCTCCATCATCATCACATTTCATTTCTGCCTCATCATCACTTCCGGGGTCCTCGGAGCACTGCAGCCATCTCTTAGGGTGAGTGCAGTAACCTCATCTTTTGTTAGATAAACCAGCCCTATAACTATATCGGAAACCGAATTCTTCCATTAGTTGAGGTATTAAAACGTTACCTCATTTTGTCATTGGAACAGCAGCTAAAGCCTCAGCGATTAGGAAATAAATAAATAAATAATAAAAACTTCGAATAAAATGTGGAGGGAAGAAAATTAAGAACAAAAATGTAACTTTTATCCAAATGGTGAAAAATTATCTGTCTTTTGACTACATAAATTTTTTAAACATTGAAAGTAATGCTGAAAATCAGCTTTGGAAACACAGAATAGGAATATATATATATTCAGTTTCTTGTTAAAAAAGTCTTACTCATGAATTAAAAAATATTCTAATGACAGAAAGCTTTGCGATCCGTTATGAAATTTTCACAGACAGGAAATTAATGCTGACAATAATAATAACAGTATTCACATTCTTTTTTCCTTTTTCTGATTATTTTGTGTCACATTCTTTCTTCTCTTTCTCTGGTTCTTTCTTTCTTTTTTTAGTCCAAAGGATTTCTTTCTTTCTTTTTTTAGTATAAGCACTAATAGCTGCTTATTGTATTTCATAATTACAAAACAATATTTTTGAAAGTAAAATATAAACATGCCTAGTATTTTCGCGCATTATTTATTTATATTATTATTATTTATTTATATTTTGTTTTCAAAAGTATCGTTTTGTAATAAATATATATATATACACAGAGAGAGAGAGAGATTTGTATGACTGCTGCAGCAGCCGAAAGAAGAAGTTTCGGGTTTTTTTTCCTTGGGCGTCACGAGATTCACTTGGAAATATTAAAGCCTAATGCTTCCTAATTTATTATATAGTTTACTGGGAACAAGCGATTAAATAATTGTCTTCGTCTACAATTTTATATTACGAATAATAAAATCTTGAACCGCCCTTGATTAATTTATAAAGATAATCTCTTATTCTTTTGACAATGCAATTCAGTTATTAGATTTATTTATTTGAGAGCCCACTCTTTTATTATTCGTGCTATAAAACTGTAGTTGGAATTTCGTTAAGAGAATTATTTAATCTCTTTTTTCCATCGAACTGCATGATAAATTACTTTTCCCCTTTCAGTTCATTACTTATTTGTGAAAATAAGTAATGATCATGAAAATTATATAAAATTTTCCTAAAATAAATGAATTTTACTTTAGAAAAACATTTTAGCCCAAAGGGACGTTAGCTCAGAAGGGCTTTTAATCTCAAAACGTTATTTTGCTCAGTTCACTATATATGTCCGTTTGACTTTTCAAATTGTTGCCACGAAATATTACTGCCCAGTCTGATATTTAAAGAAATTAAATAATAAAGAATCTACATGAATTTAACTATTTTCTCGCTTTGTGAAAAAAACTGTGTACCTAGAACCATCAAATTTCGAATAGCGTAGTCCTCCACCTGAATATGGGCTCATGGAAGCCCGAATTTGTAATTTGTAAATTTTTTTGTTATCTATTTCATATATTTTTTATAAAAGAATTTTTTTATTAACAAACTCAACGATTTCAAAGCGAGTAATGGCAACACTGTACGGGGAAAAAAAAAGAAGGAAAAACAATTTTATCTCCAGAGTGCGAGACTGTCTATCGGAAATTCTAAAGATATGCTGTTTTTGAAAATTTTTAGCTCAAAGGAATATTATCTCAAATGTTCTCAAAATGTGTATCTATGTAAATGAAAAAAGCGCCCCTTCGGGCGTAATATAACATCTGAAAACTTTCAGTTTTTTTATTTTTTTTTAATTTGAAGTAGGTTTACATTCATTGCATTTCTTAAATAAATTAAATATTATGAACCTTCAACTAGTTAGTTGTAGAGACATTAGGGAATTTTTTGGAAGAAGGCAAGATGAAAAATGAGCAATCTCCTTCTCCGGGAATCGAACCACGGACCCCTGGAATACCGGCCCAGTGTGCAGAACCACTACACCACGAAGGCATGCTAGGAAGATGGGAGAAATACCGTATAAAGTACTGAAAATTTCTATAACCTGAACAAAAATAAGTATTTATTTACATTTAGAAATGTAATGCATTCGCTCAGCCTGTCAAAGTAAGCCTTGCGTATCTGTTGTTATTAATGTATATGGTACTAGTGTTCATAACAAAAGTAAATTACCTTTGAAAGTGACCTTTTTAAGCCTTAAAATTCTTTTAAAATCTTTGAATGAGTGCTAAAATTTTATTATTATCTAATATACATTTTTTTTTTTTTTTTTCAGATCTTGTGGTTGATAACTCAGGTTGCTTTCATTATTTGGGGCGCTTTCCTATACTTATCGTCCCTTTGTGGTTGCCTGCGGCTGCTTCGGTCCATTGTCAAGGTGCCCCCGCGTTTTCTCACGCAGGTAAGATACAAAATCTGAATACCAAACTGGAAGAATATCTATATATTACTATATGCCAGCTTCATAAACATATAGATGTACAGACATGCAGTATTTCTTAGACATGACATTGCTCAATTGCAGTCACAAACAAGGTAAACGCACATTGTTAATGAAAAGTAACAACAAATACCCTTAAAAAAAGCTGATTTGGACATCACATGACTTCTTTGTACAGCGTTTTAAATTTTACACATTTTTTACTGTGTTGCATTTAAACTTATTGCCTCAGATTTCATCAGAGATACTATTTCGCATTCAATCAATTTATTTCTCACTGAGCGGCAAGGCAAAAATACATGACATCTCAAAGCATCTTCATTAAAAGTTGTAAAATACAGAAAATCCTTAAAACACCGAATAGAGTTAAAAGCAGTTTAAAAGTTTAAAAAAAAAAAAAAAAAAATTGCAATTAAAATTAGAGTTTATACGCAAAAAAAAAGCAACTCGCTCAAGACACAGGAAGATAAAGTTCTCGGTGCACAAAGTTAATTTTCGGTCCCATGGGGCAAAAAAACTCTGAAGTTGGTACACCAAGTGACTTAATTCAATATTCTACTAAGATTTTCAAATGTAAACGTATGGAGGCCTCATTAGACCTAGCGCCACTTAAACTTTTAAATTGTTGATCATTCTACAACTACTGTGTGCATATTAACTAAAGGCATAACATTTTTAAATGAATAAATATGTAATGCAACGGACAGATGTAGCTCTGACTTGTGCCAATATAATATATTTAATATAATGGTCTAGCTTAGGCTATCATCAGTATTACGGCTAATTGCAAACAAGAGGGGGAAAAAAAAAGATTTACGAAACAAATTTAATAAATAACAATTCAAAGTTTATTTTGCCCGTATTTGCGGTTTTACAAACTTAAGAAAATTCCTAGGAGAAACAGAAGTATTTGTAACTTACTGAAACAGCTGTCGTAAGTAGATTAAAAATTTTTAATTTTCCAAAATGAATTAGAACATTTAAAAATAATCTCTTAACAGTTACTATAAAGCAAACATTTTCTCTTTCCAAAATGTAATAAATCGCGATCACTGATAATGTAATAAATCGCGATCACTGATAATGTAATAAATCGCGATCACTGATAATGTAATAAATCGCGATCACTGATAATGTAATAAATCGCGATCACTGATAATGTAATAAATCGCGATCACTGATAATGTAATAAATCGCGATCACTGATAATGTAATAAATCGCGATCACTGATAATGTAATAAATCGCGATCACTGATAATGCAGTAACGAAATAAATATCCAGCCGCGAAGGAGAAAAGCTATATGCTTTTATTTTGATTCCCTTCTAGAGGAGAGCTTTTGCCGACCAACCGGTATAGTTGGCCGAAGGGTCCGGTTTCGAACCCCGGAGATGTTTGTAGACCGTCGGTGCGGCATGACCGCAGTCTAAATATGCGGCGAGCCGAAGGACAAGTCCTCTCGTCCGGTTTGGCAGAAAGATACATAAGAATTAAAATATTTCTGCATGAAATCACTGAATAAAGCGAACTATCAGAATACAGGTGACGAAAGGTCAGACAATATTCTAACCGCTCTTAGAGATGTAAAAAATGAAAGACATTCATTCATCAAATTTTGGTCATTATTTAGAAATTCTTACGAATGATAAGAAGAAAGCACTTATTTTAAATTTGGCCTTTAAAGACCAAAAGATATCGATTTTCCCCAAAATAAAGACAGCAGATCATTTTCTTCTGCCCATTATACAGTGATTAATAACTCCGTTTTAGAGACAGATTTTGCTTTGTTATTCACTTGAACTTAACAAAGACTATTGCGAACCATGTTGGTTAATTTCAAGCAAGGACAGATGTGGTCGTCAGGAATACAGCACTGGCAAACGTTACCGATAAGAAAAAAAAAAAGCGCGAGAGAAGTTGTCATCATATCGCAAGCTGTATTGAAAAGAAAAATCGGGAAGCAAATGACTGTATTGCTCACATATGAAAAAAATCTGTAAAAGATGAAATCAATTTCAGTTAGTTTAAGAGAGATTAAATCCAGATAAATTTATTAAAAAGTAACAATGGTTACATACTTAGCTAATTTTTTACCTGATGTCAAATTGTTGGAAGAATATGACATTGTAGAGACATTAGGTGTTTTTTGAAAGCAGGAGAGATGACAAATGAGAAAACCCCTCGCCGGGACTCAAACCACGGACCCCTCGAATATGCGCCGAGCGTGCTGATCACTACACCACGTAGGCATGCCAAGAAGGTGGGAGAAATACCTGACATACCCCCTTTTAAGGGGCGACTAGAGGTTAGGGGACCCAATCACCATGTCCTGGCGATGGAGAATCATCATCCACCAACATTTTAGTTTGGGTGCCACTTCAGAGACATTAGAGGTTTTTTTTTTTTTTTTTTTTTTTTTTTTTTTTTTTTTTTTTTTTTTTTGAAAGCAGGAGAAATGAAAAATGAGCAATGCCCTCGTCGGGACTCGAAACATGGACCTCTCGATACGCGCCGAATGTGCTGACCACTACATCACAAAAGCATGCCAAGAAGGCGGGAGAAATACCTTACAACATTATCAAAAGGCTCTCAAGCACTGTTAAATATTTGAATTCTGCTACATAAAATGAGTTAATTGATTGTTTAAGTAGTATTTGTTTCAAAACAAAGCTTTTGGATGAAATTAAAAATTATCTTTTTTATTTCTTTGTACGAATATTATGTACAAAGTAATTGTAATCACGAAAAACTTCGGTTATCATATTTCAATGGAACTATCCATTTTGATCCATCTGGGGGAATGGTTTCCGAATCCATCTGGGGCCCACCAGCGGCCGAGCAGTAAAATCGCTAAGCACTGGTAGTTCGGTCCAAGGTTCGAATCCCCCAATGTACATCTACATATATATCAACCCCTTACCCGGTCCTTTATTTTCACAATCGTTGGTCGTAGTCATATCTGCCCATTACAGAAGTGTTTTAAATGACGAAAAATATTTTGGCTATGTCAAATTATTAAAAAAAAAAAAAAGAAAAGAAAAGAAAAAAGAAAAAGAAAAAGAAAAATTAGGCAGATAACGAAATTTAACTTTTTATTCGGTCTCCCGGTTCGTATAGTTCTACTTGGGAAAGTTTTGTACTCGTTATGAAAAAATAAATTAGAAGAAGTTTGACTCCCGTGCGACAAAAACTGACCGGGATATTTAATTCAAAATTTGCAATTTTTGATGTCATTTTCAACTTGCCTTGAGGGATCGAATAATTAAGTTAAATTATTCGAGGAAATAACTTTAAATGAAATGCAACAAAAAGTGTGTATAATTTAATAGGTGATACAAGGAAGTCATGTGTGTCCATATCAGATTTTTAGCTATTAATCCTAATCTTATAAAAATTATTATCAAAATGTTGGCTCCTGAAAACCTCGATTTTGGGGGATTTATACGTCGTTAATCCGTTTCAGATCTTTGAACTTAATACCAGTCTGTACGTATACCAAACGAGCTTTTTCAATTAGAAATAAAGAGAAAATTATTAATCCATTCTTATACAAAGAAACCTATTGCTATTATTATAACTCTGTTTAATACTAAAATGCATATGCAGTGGATGAAATATATACTGTGCATAAATGAAAATTTACCAAATTTTTTCTTGTCTGTCCCTTTTCTTCTGTCAGCTCCTTACTTGACCTTCCATGACTTTTACTGAAAACCTGTCCAAAGAACTTTGCTTCTGTCTTTTCCTCAGGATGTTTCGAAAATGTGACATTCTTTGGTCATTTCGAATGGTTTGTTTGAGATTTGTTGATGTGGTAAATCTCTACAATGATTTTATCATCCATCCAATTAACAAAGATTTTATTGATTAAAGAAGTAGAGGTTTCTTCAACCTTCTCTTCATTTCAGCCTGAGCAAAGTGAACCCATTTTATTCTTGTGTTTTCTCCTTCTGAAGCTCCTGCGGATCCTCATTGGTCAGCTCCTCTTTGTGTCCCTTCTCCTCATAACAATCACTCAAATCCAAAGCCCTAGCTCTAGCCAGATAGATAATATCATCAACTATAGATGCGTCTCAGTGTCAAATTCAGTTACTGCTTCTGGCCAAAATTCCTCCAAGCAGATTTACATTATTTTGTAAAATGCCTCCCACTTTTTTTTTTTTTTTTTTTTTTGTTAAAAGTTTTATTGATTGCTTATACATGTAAATAATTTTAATGAAATGACATGTAAAATCTACTATTTTTTTCATAATTTAACATGAAAGGCCTCAGGTGCAAAGCTTCGACAGAAAAATAGGGTTACAGCGGTAAGTCGATTTAACATTGAAGTAAATGGCGAGAGTGCCAAGCTGGCGATGGTTCTGGCGACTAAATTTTGCCGCCAAGCTCGGCGACCATTTCGCGACATTTTGATACGATCTTTATGTAACTGTAACTATATCCAACCCTATATAATTGTAACTACGTATGCCTTTTTAGCAATTTCGAGAAATCGAAGGTTCTGGAAAGTATTTCTCGGAGGACGGGGGGGGGGGAACGTCGGGAGAGAGCATCAATTTTCAGTTTAGGTCAGAGTATTGAGAGATCACTGTGCGAGCTTAAGACATTTGAGGCTCTTTGCACTGTATTATATAGACATTATTACTAATTTATAGTGGTACCTACTAATTGTACTCTGTCATACTGAAAAGAGCTAAACGAGTACTTTTGCGTAAAAAGTTTCAGAGTTGTGAGGCGTTTTTGAGGAAATAAATTTCATCAGGATTTTATCGATTCTGTGTGCATTCAGACCATTACGTAACTCTATTGTTACGTACCCGTACACACGTACTAGAGTTATACAGTCGCAAAGTAACATACAGGAGCACCGAAGCTAACTCAAACAACGCCAAATTTGACTGAGTACAGATCTGGCATTAGAAGTTTCTGTACATTTACTTGGTCCGACTTGATTTATTTTATTATGGCAAAGCACTTAAGGGCTCTCTGTATAAGGGGAGGGATGCTTTCATGGAGGACTTTCTAAGGGAATCTGGCTCCTATACACATTACGCTTTGGGAAAACCACTATAACGCCCATGGAACCAGCCTATTCGCCGGAATTTGAACCCCGGGCCGAACTACGAATGTTCAGTAACTTAACCTTTTGAACCCGTACATTTACTATCGCGCTTTTGTGCAAAATTAGCTCTAATATAATCGCGGAAGGGATTAAAAAAGGAGAACTCGTGTCGCATATCATGCAAAAGTTTTCGCTTTCCAAGAGAACGTATATCAAGTTGGACTTATTTTAAAGCGGACGTATACCAAGGTACTATTATATTTATTGTATTATAAATTATTATGTATATATTAATATATTATTAAAATTAATAGTAAAGTTAAATTAAATTTAAATAATTCTCTAGCGCCATTGCTGTAAGGAATGAAATTTGAATTTAACAAATATTCTGTATACGTATAAAACAAATTTAAAGTTAATTAAAATTTTAATTTTCAATTATGAAATTTTAATTGCATACAAATAAATGATTAATTATTGAGGCGAACTAATTTACAATATCATTTCAATTCTGAAAGCATATGTAAATTAAGTATCTAAAACCATGAATAAATATATAATATTCCTAAAAATTAATCCCAAACAAATTTTATTTTTTTTATTATTATTTTAAGACTAAATTAATTTGCATAATCAAATGTGTTGTAAATATGTATGGCATGAACATTTTGAATTCGGAAGTTTAACGTTTGGTCTCAGTATGCCACAAAAGATTTACAGAAAGAAGTGAACTTAGCAGTGAAATTTTTCAGAAAATAAAATAATATTTCTTTAATATAAGACATTATGAAAGTAAATACCATCATATATTATATTAAGCGTCGTTTTATGAATTCCTGAAAAAAAGTCTTGCTTAATGCTTTCATTGGAAATTTTATGCTGCTGTTCCACTTGCAGTTCGAAGTGAAGAAAAGATATCCAAGTAAAGAAAGGGTAAATAGACAAGCAAAACGGAAATGGTCTCTATTTCGATTTTATTAGAACAGAATTTGAATTGAATCTGCCGCATTTCCTCTATATTTTGCATGATGAACATTGCAAATAATCTAATGTTTTCTATTGAAAATATGTAAAAGTTAATAATTATATTTAACAGGTGGACCCTGGCTACGAGATCAACAGCATTATGCCTCTAGGTATGTTCACTGAGCAGCCGCAAGAGCAGCATGAGAAGTCTCAAAACCAACCTAGAATTCGAATCACAGACGTCAACGACCAGACATTTAGTTATGCAAGTGAAGGATCCCTTTCTGTCCATCCTGATCTACAACGTAAGACTTCTCATGTCCCATCTTTAAGTACTGTGCATGCATATGCGTGTGCATCCGTGGGAATGAATTCTGAAAAATAAATTAAAGGAAGTTCCTAGTACCATTTCAAATAAGTATATACCATACAATTCAACCGGAATGCGATGAATCCTCTTTCGGAGACCACCTCTGAAATTAAGCAGTATTTTTGAGAACGTATTTATACATCGAAATTGAACAGCTATTCTGAAAGACAATCTCCTCCACAAAAGGCAAAACGTACACAATGAATGGAAAAAAAGTGTCTGATTTTTCTCAGTAATATACACTTTAACAAAGGACTTTCCGTGATTATAACAAAATAATTCAGTAAAAACTATCACAATAAAACAAATAATAATAATATTAATAAAAAAATATCTGAAAGGTTTCAGATTTTAAATTACGTCCAAAGGGTTGTTATCTTAACATTTTGTGTATTACCTTTATTTAATAAATATCATGTTCTTTGGACTTAATCATAAAATTCAGTTCAAGAGCAATATCGCAAAATAATTTTAAATTGAGCCTATCTTTAGAATTTCCGATACACAGTCTTGCGTCCTGGAAAATAAAAATGTTTTTTCTGTACGACGTTGCCATGGCTCGCTTTGAAATCCTTGAGTTTGTCAATCAAAAATTCGTTAAAGTTTTACAATATTTAAATCGATAATATAACCATTTCCAAATTTCAAATTTGGGCTTCCACATGCTCATATTCGCAGTAGGATTACGTCATTCAAAATGCGATGGCTCTATGTACCGTTGTTTCATCCCAGTGCGAGAAATATACCTACATTTATGCAGATTTTTCATTATTTAATTTCTTCAAATATAATGCAGAACTCTAACATTTGGCGGCAACAGTTTGAAAAGTGAAACGGACATTTATAGTGATTCAAGGTAAAATCGCAAAACGAAAACAATACTCCCTCAGGGACAAAGCCGCTTTGGACTAATAATGTCTTTTTGTAAATTGTAACATCAGTAATTAATTTCTTTTCATAAAAAATACTGCGTTAGTAAATTTCAGCGTGTGGCCATTTTCTAGCTTTCCAGAAGTTCAAATCGGTATTCGAATCCTCGCTATAAGTTCTTCAATACTTGGCCTCATACATTAAACTCACATCGCAGGCGGTCCGTATGCATGATCTGAAAACAACTGACAGGCGAGAATTTTTTTTTTTTTTCTTTTACAGAATTAAAATTTTACTAACTAAATAAAAAATATACAAATTAATTTTAATTTTCAGTTTCGCTTACTAAAGATCATAAAGGAGAAAAACTCTATTTATTTTCTATGCGAAGTGTAAAGTTTGGTACCTGCAAAAGATGTTGGTAACATTTTGTTATTCATGTATATACTAGATAGCTATATAATTAATTCTTTGATTGACATTTCTTTCAAATAATTCTAACGTGTTTATTTAATCATTACATAATTTACTTTAATTCAAACTAAAAATAAATAAATTATGAAAAATTCTCTAAGTTTTCAGATAAAATTCACCAAGTGGGACGAAATTTGGGAATAAATATTAACAATCTAGTTTATTTCCCTTATTTATTAAATTTTTCTTCGGTACATAAATAAAAATACATATGTTCAGATATAAATAGTTATAAACCTCTTTATTTCTTACTACACCTTAATGGCGTTTCGATTCTGATAAAGTTTGTAACCCTGGACAGAAATTACTGAAGATTTTACACGACGGGCTGCAGACGCTCTTCGGTCTGTTCACATATAAATGTTTTCCCAAACAAAACTATTATTCTTATTTAATTATTCAAAATTTCAAAAACTCGCAGCTGAGTTTATTTTTTTGACAAGTACAAATAAAAATTAATCAACTCTTTATCTTTAGATTATTGAATAAGATTTATATCACATATTAAATTATCCGACCTCGTACAAAGGTTTTGGTCAAAATTTCGATTTTTACTTTATTACATGATCTTAAAGAATACATCTTTAGCTATCAAACAGAAGTTTTTGTTTGTTGATAGGTTAATTAGAACTGAAGTTATAAGCATTTTTCTGTAACGGAATAAACCGGAAGTTCCATAATTCTGGGCCGGAAGTGAGCGTTTAAATAAATATGCTTATTTAGAAACCTTATTTATCATCAAGATTTTGTAAATTATAAACCTTCGTACTAAGTTTAGATATTTCGTAATGCATTTTAAGAATCTGGCGATCGTTTTTTCTTTTAATTTCGTATTTAGTTTGGCGCAGAGGGTATTCGACGTTGAATGGATGTGTTGCAGCTTTGTCGATTAGCGTTGACAAAGTGCTTGATTTGAAAGCTACGTCACGTTTTTGCATCATTTGCAACAAAATAAACAGACTGGAATACAATCCTCAGCACGACATATGTAAAGCGTAACATAATTGTTCTGCAAATTATAAAGAAGCAGCTTCGGGTATGGAAGCAGTTGATGCTTATCCGCTTTTTGAATGATCTATTACATTACGAAAGCTGATGTACACGGAGTATTATGAGAATGGGGATTCTAAGGGTTTTTTAATTGTGAAAGATATATATGGTGAAGATTCGGTCAAGAAACTGTAATGCATTGGACATATACAGAAAAGAGTTGGTAGTAGACTATGAAAAGTAAAAAACTCCGCTCCTGAATTGAAAGGAAAAGGTAAACTGACTGATTCTTTTATTGATTAACTGCAGAATTAGGAATTGCAATTAGATGTAATGTTGGAAACTTAATTGAGATGCAGCAGGTTGTACTAACTGCTTGTTCCATTGTAGCTCTTCTTCGAAGCCAATGCCCTCCTCAATCAATGAGTTGGTGCAACTATGAATGTGCGATTGCAGAAATCAGGTAAAAATCAGAAAAAAAAATCAGGCAAAAACCTCTGGTATATCAATATATATTTTGAATTTAATTAAACCTACATATATGGAGTTGACTACATAAACAAGAGTTATTAAAAAGTGTCTACATGGCAAAACTCAAAATATCAAGGAAAGTTTATTGCAAATTGTTCCGAAAAAAACATTCATAAACTTGCGAATATTAATGTTTGGAGCATATGTAAGTGTTGTGTTATTTAATGTTATTTAATGATGGATTTATAGGTTTGCTTGAAGCATTTTCAAGGTGCCCTGAATTTTACACTGAGCAGGTAATTAGAAAACTTGATAAAGTGCAAAATCATGACTTTTGGTGGCATTCCAGAAGTTTTACAAAAACTCAAAGAAAAAATTACGCTTTGTTCGAAAGGAAAAGTGCAAAGTGTGTGAAGAAAAGAAAACAAGGTGTCAGTTACAAAGCAGAGGAATTTTAATTATCAAGGATGCTTCTTTCACTAAGAAATTGTTTTATAAAAACATTAAACTTGTTTTCTGAAAAATGTTTTTTCTGTAAATATTGCCAATGGTAACAGCCATAACTCAAAATTTTATGGATAAAATTAAATGATACTTTCTATATATGTTTCATATAATCTGACGCATGCTCTGAAGCGGAAGATTTTAGAAATATTAATTAGAAGTTGAATTGTTACTTTTTATTTTTAGATTTTGGATGCAATAATGGAAAACTATATAGTAAATACTATACATTTTGACATATCTCAAGAATATATCAATATTTCTTAATTATTTTGCTTCATTTCATACAAAAAAGTGTAAACATAAATACAAATTAAAAAAACTACATATTTATATATACATTGTTCACCGTGGTGTTGCCGTAAAGGCAAAATTTAAGCAAAAATTATCCTTTTTTCATTATTTTTCAAAATTAAAATTACTTGGCATTAAGTTTTAAGCCGTTTTCCCTCATTAATATGCTTATCTTCAAATTAATGTGTTTATAGTTAAAATAAAAACGATTTTAAAAAAATGGTACCCGAATGAGATCGGATACCTTAAATTAATTGGTACTTTTCCGTTTCGCCGGCGCAAATCTTGCCAAGCAGACTTTGTTGGCGACAGCATACAGTATACACATAAAAAATTTTAGTTCTGAGAATTTTTTATTTAGAAGGCATAAATATATTAATATGATTTAAAATTTTGTAAAAAGCCAATAAATAAAGACAATAAATTTGTAAAAAGATATTAATTTAAGAATTTACTAAGCTTTCATGGTTCAATATCTTGATTCGCGGGTTCGTATCCCGTGACCCAAAGTGATCTCATCTCACGTAAAATACGCTACAAAAAATATAATTCTCTGAAATTATCTACATAAATTTCTAGTTAAATCTTAATTTGGAATACAAGTTTAAATGAAAGAATTATTTCAATTCGTACGAATAGCTTACTCAGAAATTATGTAAAACCGCAGTGCATTACTTCGCTAGTGCAGTCTCATTAGAATTGATGAATTTAACCCTTGACTTTGCCTTTTCTATAGTTTTCGCCCTTCGGGTGAGCGGTGTGACTGCATCCTAATTGACTTAATCACCGCGAATGGCCTTAGGGCATAAAATTGAACTATCTAGTAAAAATTCTATCTAATTGTATACAAGTATTGAAAGAAACAATCAATCTGATAAGAAATGGTCGCGACTTGTTTTGAAAATGAAGCGTAAAAGGTTACCAGCGAAGATATTCTGTTTGGCATCAGTTGTACCATTATTGGTGACTTTATCGTTTGCGCCGGCAAAACGGAAAAGTACCAATTAATTAAATGCATTTGTATAATTTTTCATAAGTTTATAAGATGATTATGGTGAAGGTTGTCAGGACTTGTGTTTCTCTTGATTTGCTTTGGAAACATGGTATGCCCTGAATAAGAACAGGGAGCTTACTCAAGCTGTGTTCAAGATTTGTGTATAACAGACGACACAAGCAGGAAGGGTATACGAAACCCTTTATTTTCAATACTTTTCAGGCACTTCCGAACTTCGGAATACAGAGACCAACCACATGTGGTCTGAACGTAAGAATATAAAACTACTAACTAAAACTCTAACTAAAAGCTAACTTTGAACTAGTATACAAATGCCTAGCACTAAGACTGGCCTTTATTTAAAAAGGGTACATATGTAGCACGCCGAGCTGCTGAAACTACAATACGTTTGCAGATATTAAGAGGGCTAACTTCTGGCCTTAAAGGCAACCAGCAACCGAGTGAAAACTCGTAAAACTGCAGTGGCAAGCTGCTTACTTCATAAAACTCCTTCTCTCTCCCTCACTCTTGGCAAAAAGCCACAACTTAAATACTTGGGCGTTAGCAAGACAATTTGCATAAACAAGTTAAAGCATTTAATTCTGGCCGGAAGTAGAAAATAAGAAGTGATAGTACAGTTTTAAAATAAAATAAACGTTAGTAAAACTTAGGATCCTTACAAGGTAAAAAAAAAAAAATTCTTGCAGCAAATTCGTATGACATAAATGTTCCCTCCCAGAGTTCCTGATTTTAGTTAAACAATTTTTCGACAGATGACACTGCAAATCCCTTCCAGTTTCGATGTATGCAAATCATCAAAATATGCATCCGAAGAAATTTGATTTTTCGGATGGGTTGATGTTTTGATTTAAAAGGAGTGTTATCTGTGACTGGACTAGCAGTATAGAGGTGAACAGCAGGTTCTGTAGTACTGAAAATAACATAATATGTGGGAGAAAAGGATTTTCCTTGTATTGTAATTCCACTATTTTGGGGAGAGTATTATAGCAAGAAAAAGAAACTTTCAGTGCAAATTCCAAGTTGCTAATGGTCCGTACCATTAGCAATTTGTATAATAAAACACTGTACGAGAAATTCAAACGAACAGGTAGTATTGCGGATGGTCGTAGAGGAAACAATTGCACGTTTCCCCTAGAAAATCAATCTGAAAACTGCAACCGAGTGTCAGTTGAGGAAAATGGGAGCACATAAGTTCTTGGACTTGTTTCCCATACAAAATTCAAACACAACAATTGTTTCAGACCGTTATCTGTAGAGAAAAGGAACATGTTTGCAAATGAAGTGCTGGAAATGATTGGTGGTGGCTGCACTGATGTGAATTGTATGTGATTTTCAGATAAAGTAAATTTCCATCTCAATGGATTAGTCAGTAAGCAAATTTGGAGAATTTAGGGAACTAAGAACCCTCAAGGATAAACACATCCATGAGGGTTCTTAGTTCCCTAAATCGTAGGTGCGTGCGTACCTACGTATCTCGCATAACTCAAAAACGAGTAGCCTCAGAACGTTGAAATTTTGTATATAAGACTGCTATAACATGTAGATGTGCACTTCGTATTTTGGTTTCAATCGGCCGCGTCAAACGTATATAAGTATATTTATAAATATATCCACTCTGTTACCCGGCTCAGTGATCTCAGTTTCTTTACTCTTATATGTTTGTAAATTGTACATTTTTTGCTTTAAAAATGATTGAATTATGTTGTTTTTATCTTTCGGTTAAGGGTTTTATGCCTTTAGTAAATCTGTATATATATTTTTAGAATTATCAACAATTTTAAAATTGTTTAAGTGCCGCTAAGCCTAATTTGATGGCGGCCATTGATGTTTACATTTCAAACAGGACTAGTGGATTTGTTGCCAATTTGGAGAAACTTAGCTTCGCAACAACAAAGATAACGCATTCATTTATTATTGCCAATTAAATCATGCTTAATCTTTCTTGAATTTTTTCGAGGAAATAAGCGTTTAAGATTTACTTCGTAATTTTTAATACAGATATTTTGAATTTTTATGTACTTTTTCCTTGTCGCGAAGTGAGAACTGAATTAATTGAATGAGAAATACTCAATCGTCTGCGAAAATCTGTTTCTTTTTTGTTTTGTTTGCTTAATTTCTTTTATACATAGTTCTAGCTTTATTATAGTATTTGAAGAGAACATGTGGCAACGATTAGATAATTCTTTAAATGATATAAATTTTGTGCATTCAGAGTTATAATATGAACGAAATATAATACTGTTAAGTAAACCTAGCGCTAGAGTGTCGCTATGGTAAACAAAGGGAATCTTAAAGAATGCATTTATTCTATTGTGGTTTATGCGCTGTCGGAGAAGTAGGTTTAATTCAATCTAATAAGTTTAAATAAAATGCAAGAAAAAATCCGTATAATTTAATATTCCGTACAAGGAAGTCATGTGGTGTACACATCAGATTTTTTTAATTACTTATTTACTATTTGTAACGCCATCTATCGAAAATCTTTTGAACTAAAACCAAGAACTGTGAAAAGCTAAATTTATGCCCTGTCACATGAATTTGCTGCAAGAGTTGTTTTCCTGTTATAAATTTTTGAAAACCGTCAGTCTATTTCAGGACACCCGGTATATGTAATACACAACGTACTGCAGAGGCAACGGAATGCACCACTATGGTCGATTGTAATTTGTCCTATCTCTATTATGAAATAACTAGCCGTTTAAAATAGCTATTAAAAAAAAAAAAAAAAAAAAAAAAAAAAAAAAAAAAGATAATGATTTTAATGAGTGCAACTAATAATCAAAAATATAGAAATGAAAAACTGCGGAACAGCGGTACGTAGAACCGCCAAATTTTGAACGCATATATAGTCCTACGCCGGAAAATCTGCATAATGAAGCCCGAATTTTTAATTTCGAATTTGATTTTTGTTTATTTCGTATTTTCTAGCAACTTATTGAACATTTGATTAAAAACTCAGCGATTTAAAACTTTGTGCTCCCACTGTGCAGGGATTAAGATATTTATGTTTCAAATTTAATCAGAAAACTCACAGATGTAAAAGAAATGTGTTGCCATTCGATAAAATGCAATATATTCGTCTTTCGAATTTCATCAGCAAACTTGGCGAGTTAAAGAAATGTGTTGATTGCCTGAATAAAAATGTTTTTATATTCCATGTGGCAATGTGTCGTCGTTCAACAAAGCATAAGCTATCTTTCTAATTTATTCTGTTATTAATTTTTAAAAATTAAGCGATTTAAAAGCAACGAATGCGGATTGTTCGCTATTATTAATTACTGTCCATAACTGTTAAGTTACATCAGTTGGAATCATTAAAACCGTTATAGATTTTCTTTCTTTATTATAAATACTAACCATACAAAATAGCTAATCATACAAATAAAGAAATAATTCATTAATTATAAAACGTTAATATTCAGCTTAAACTTTGGAAAATAATTAATCCAACGGTGGCACAGCATAATAACTGGAGACACTATAAAAATAATAACAGCATCTCAAATAAAATATTTAGATTACTGAAGCGGCAGCGCACGAAGGTGATTGAACTTCTTTGCTGGCATGCAATCGCACTTACATAGAAGGTATATTTTAACATGTGCCACCATCTGGTGGATAAACAATAAGTTAAAAATGTTTACCTATTTTTTAACGCATTTTATGTAGTCTAAAAGTAGACATTCTTAAAGTATTTCAAAAATTCGAAATCGGTTTTCGGGTATTCAGTTTATCTGAGATACATCACGTGTTAAATAAGAGATCACGTGTTTCCTTCCCTGTCTCTTTTTGACAATATCTTTTCGTTTTGCTCTGAAATGCTATATGCGGAAATGCTTAAATATAAAAAGTGTTCCTTTGCAGGTTCTGAGGCTTTACCCTTACGCTGCATTATACCGACATCTCCCGACCGGCGGAGCTCGACTGCCATTAAAAGCAAGCCTGTGGCTCACAACGAGGATCCAGCAGTTATAAAGCCTCTCATTGTAAGCAGATTTATGATATGTTTTTGACTTCTTATATTTCTGATTAGCAAAATTTTCAGTGATAAAAAAATAACCTAAAATTAAAAAATAAATAAATAAAAATTAAATCTGAAATGCTTCAGATTTTAAATTACGTCCAAAGGAACTTTTTTTAACGTTTTGTGTGTTACCTTTATTTACTACATATCACGTTCTTAGCACTTAAACGATATAAAATTTAATTCAACACAATATCATAAAATATTTTAAAACAGTATATCTTTAGAATTTCCAATAGCAGTCTCCCGCGCTGGAGATAAAAATGTTTTTCTGTACAAGGTTGCGATTGCTTAAATCAAAATCCTTGAGTTTGTTAATCAAAAATTCATTAAAGTTTCACAAAATATGAAATAAGTAATAAAACAAATTCCAAATTTCAAATTTGGGCTTCCAGATGCCCATATTCGCAGCAGGATTACGTCATTCAAAACTGGATGACTCTAGGTACCGTTGTTTTATCACAATGCGAGAAAGTACATTTATGCAGATTCTTCATTATTTAATTTCTTTAAATATAATACAGGGCTATAATATTTGGTGGCAACAGTTTGAAAAGTGAAACGGTCATTCAGAGTGATTCGATGCAAAATCGCAAAACGGAAACAATAGTCCCTCAGGAGCAAAGCGCCTTTGGACTAAAAAAACTGCCTTAATTAATAGTGTCTTTTTTATGAATCTATCGTAAAGCTTAGCAGATTTTTTTAATACGTCGATAAGAAAACTTTGCAGCATTTTACTAACTTCTCATTGTATTTCTGACTTAGTAAGCGTATCAGAGGGTGACTTTAAATTATCAAGATTCTTAATGATAAATTGCCTAAGATAAAAAAAAAAAAAAAAAAAAAAAAAAAAAAAAAAAAAAAAAATGCTTTAATTAAATAGTGCCTTTTTTATGAATCCATCGTAAAGCTTAGCAAATGTTTTCAATACGTCAACAGAAAAAGTTTCCAGCAGTTTCCTGATTCCTCATTATATTTCTGACTTAGCAAGCTTATCATATTCTGAAAAAACGTTTAAGATTAAAAAAAGAATGCCTTAATTAACAGCGCCTTTTTTTGATAAAACTCAGGAAATTTTTTTAATACGTCGATAGCCTTTTCACTATATTTCTGGCTCAACAAGCGTATTATATTCTGACTTTAAGTTAGGAGGATTCTTAATAATAAAAAAGTCCGAAGATTAAAAAAAGAATGCCTTAATTAATAGTACCTTTTTTTAGTAATACTCAGCAAATTTTTTAATACGTCAATAGACTTTTCACTATATTTCTGGCTTAACAAGCTTATCATATTCTGACTTTAAGTTAGGAGGATTCTTAATAATAAAAAAAGCCTAAGATTATAAAAAGAATGCCTTAATCAATAGTGCCCTTTTTTATGGTAAAACTCAGCAAATTTTTTTAATACGTCGATAAGCTTTTCACTATATTTCTGGCTCAACAAGCGTATTATATTCTGACTTTAAGTTAGGAGGATTCTTAATGATAAAAAATACCTAAGATAAAAAAAAAAGAATGCCTTAATTAGCAGTGTCTTAGTTTATGAATTCATCGTAAAGCTTGGCAATTTTTTTAATATGCGGACAGGAAATCTTTCCAGTATTAAATTCAACGTCTGCTCTTTGATAGAATTAATAAAACATTGATTTTCCTTTTGATCTCTTACTTGGTGTATCTACTATAATAATTAAAATGTCGATAATTTGCGTAAAAATACGATTTCTCATAATTGTAATTTATATTCGCAAAGTTTCCGATTCCGACTTCAGGAAGATCGAAAATGAACTTGCGTAAAGGTACAGGAGACTGCGAGTATTCAAAATCACGGAGTTTCTACAGAATCTTAATTTGTTCATATTTTCATCTAGTTTATTCAGATGAGCTTTTAAGCACGCATTGATGCAAGATTTATTCGCGCGTCCTACTTTTCATTCCACCGTCTCAAGGAGAGATGGGATTATCCAAGCGTTTCCAGCTAGGAACACAATGATGAAAAAACATACAAAGCTTTTAAAGAAGCATGGATGATTTAGGGATGATAAATGACCTGATTACGCAGCACTAGAATATATTGCATCTATATACCAGCGATAAAACGAAAACTTTTATCTAGGTGATGATGTCACCTCGTTTGAGGAGAATAGTCGAACTATTGAGTGTGTTTCTCCTTTTGCTAATCTTTCCTTTCAAAAGTTTTGTTTCTTTTAATTGTTCAGTGAAAAATATGAAATATGCAGTTATTTTTAGCCCAAAAGAGACTTTCGTCCCGACTTGGATATGAGACTTGAAACAGTATTTTGCGTCGAATCACTAAAAACTGCGTATCACTTTTCAAATTGCTGCCTGTCCCAATTACCGCCCTGTCTTCTACTTTGCTTAAACAATGAAGAATCTGCATGAATATATGTATGTTTCTCGCATTGAGAAAAAGCAACGGTACATAGAGCCATCAAATTCTGAATAACGTAGTCCTCCATCTAAACATGGGCACCTGGAAGCCGAAATTTTGCATTTCGAATTTCTATTATTATCTATTTCATATTTTGTAAAACTTTAACCAATTTTGGATTAACAAGCTCAACGATTTCAGAGCGAGCTGTGGCAACACTGTACGAAATAGAACATTTTTATCTCCCGCGCGCTAGACTGTCTATGGAAAATTCTAAAGATATGCTGTTTTTAATATTTTGCAATTTTGGTGTTGAATTTTATGTGCTTAAGCAAAGAATATGTATTAGCATAGACATTCTTTGGCTTAAGCGCGAAGAATGTGATGTTTGATAAATAAAGTAAACACATAAAATGTTAATAATAAAAAGACGAAAAAAAATATTTTATAAAGCCATCTTAGAGAAAACTGAACATTGATACGATGAACGAGATAAAAAGTGTTTGCCGACACTTTCATCGGTAATTCTAAATGTATACCGCTATGCTGCTTTTAAAATTTTTTAAATTTTGCTGTTGAATTGTAGATGGTCAAGTGCGAAGATAATAATGCTTCATAAGGCTCAAAAGACAAAAAAAGGGGGTTAGTAGAAGTGAGTTTAACATCAAGCTGCTAGGCTGCAAAGTCAGCGAGAGCATAAAAAACCTTACAAACCCCTTTTAAGCAGCCGTTAAAAACCTTTCAGATTTTTTTAATTTAATGTTTATTTAGTATTTTTTCTATTACTGAAGCTCTTAAACCATATTAGCTACACATTCGCATTATATTATATCTCTTGCATATTTCAAAAAAATTCTAAGACTCTCCACTGTGTACCTTAAGTTACAGTTGAATGTCAAGAATTTTAAGAACTAGTAAGCGAATAATCGCTTGAGTGAGATAGAAAACAACAAGTGTGAAAATAACCCTTTATTATTTCAACTAAAGTTTAACAGAACTTCGACTTGGAGTTGTGCAATAAAGCCGACACTCGGGCTTCAGCTAAGGAAACTAAGAATTAAAACTTAACTAATCTTAACTAAAAGGATATAGTCGAAGCTATCAAATTCTAACGGAGTTGGCCCCTTGACGCTAATTGGCTGCGAAGATATTAAGGATCTAAAGTACGCCCGAGCGTAACAATAGCTTAAGAGAGAGTAGCCTAAAAAGGCGAACGCGTGCTAGCCAGAATTTCTGATTCTCTCTCACTAAGACAGTAGAACTTCGTGGTTAAATACCGCTCTTCCTTAATTTGAATTCAAATGTGATTATAAAACTACATTTTGGCCGGAAGTGGTAAGTTGAAATTAAGAAGCGATAGGAAAGGAAGTTTAACTCAAAATTTAACTGTTAATAAAATTAACATAATCGTTACAAAATAAATAAATAAATTTACTTTCTCGCAAAGCACAAATTTGTCATATATCTTGAGTATGGTATAATGGGGAAAAATAGAAAGATTATACTTTTGGTTGCGAACGCTATTCGCTATCAGAAGACAATTATTTCTTCTCGTTAGACGGTTGATGAGCTTTTGGTCTCTCAGCTTGAAAACCTGACTCCCTTGTAAATGCTTTCTCTGAAAATTCATCAAAAATGCTGCGTAGGTACACTCCTGGAACTTTCGCGCTGACTTGTTACTGTAGTGCATTCTGAAATACCTGTTTAAGTAGAACGCATGTGGCTCGAAACTGTTTATAGCTGCGAGGTATGTCGATTTTACAAAAGAAAAACGCATAGCTTTCGCTTGGTTTTATAGCATATTTTAGTTATAAAATTACTTAATCAAAATCATGACTGTAAACCTATTGCGTTTTTTCCACTCCATAATGTTGATCAATATAAAAAAAAAGAAGCAAGAAAAAATAAAATAACTTCATTTGCATTACAGTAAATTCGTGTTTGTTTTACTGTAAAACTTCGAATCCGGAATGGCCGAGAATCCATTTAAGTCCACATAGCCGGAGTTCTATTGCCTATTATAAACTATGAACAAGTAAACTTACAATTTAAAAACAATTTTGTAAAATGATCTCTATAGCGTTTTAACCACACTGGCGAAAAAGATTAAAGGAACAATACAAGAAATAAATATAGTTCATTTTATTTTTAAATTAAAAAAAAAAATTGAGTTTCTCAAGACTTTTATCTTGCCATACCTAATACATATCTTCAAAATATATTTATACTTACCTTTCGAAATTATTTATTTTTAGGTGAAATAACATAAGACATCAATTACAATAGAAGAAAATAAGAGTTTCAGTATCTAAATAGAGTAAATGATCGAAATACTAGCTTCGCATCAATTTTTTTACGCTTTAGATTAGATTATTCGGGAGTATAATTATGTTCACTTTGTATTACGGTCTATATCTCTTTCATAGTATTAGGTTGAGGATAAAATTATATAAGTCGACATCTGATTTTCCCCTTATATATTTTCAGTCACAGATATGAGAGCTATGCCATCCAGTTGATTTCTTCTTAATCAGGATACTCTGATTAATCTTCTTAATCAGATACTCTGCCTTTAGATGTTACTGTCCGGATTAATGAGTAGATTAACATAATTAATCCTGAAAGATTTTAACACATCTATAAACTTTCAAAAGAAAACCCAGAAAATATTTCCTTTTTCGCCACGTGCGTTCATGGTTTATTGGTTGTACGTCCGGTTAGCATCAAAGCGACTGGAGTTCAAATCCCCAGGGGAACTCCGAAAATTTCTAAACGAATTTACAAAGACGCCTAACTAAAATGTGTGGTGGAAGATAATTTTTCATTACCTAGACTTCTCGCTTAAAGAAGTCCTCCGTGAAGCCTTTCATCCACAGCACCGGAATATTCATCCGATCGCGGTATCAAATTTCGTTGCAATTTATGAAATTGACATTTGTCTGTCTCATTACAACCAAAAAGCTGTTAACCTTTTTTTTTTTTTTTTTTTTCAATAGCTCAAGGAGTACAAGTGCACTAATTTCCATATTGTAGTGTAGTATTATTTGCTAACATTGACGTTTTATTACTGACGTACAAATTTTCAATATATTTTGTCCATTGCTTAATATTATACTTACTTTTGAGATTGTTCTTTAATTCTTCCTGCTAGTGTAATATGTGATATTCTTTGCTTTGTTGATTCTTCTATATATCGATTATATATTTATAAATAATTGTAATGTTTGCTTCTATTGAATCAGTCAGATGAGTTTTTAAAACAACTCACTGGTTAAAAAATCTAAGTCACTTAATTAAAGATTTAAATATAAAGAAAGGGCTTCAGTTTTCATTGATTTCTTTTTACTTAGTTTCGTCCATTTTCAGGTATACAGTTGAACAACTGCTGACAGGTACTAGTTTATTTTAGGATTTGATATCATTCGTCAATTTGTTTTTACATAAAATTACGCATTATTGATTATATTTGACAGGCTGGACGATGTTCGATTGAAGATGATACTGGCAAACAAATTCCGATTCCAACTACCATACCCACGTTTCAGGCAACAACTACTCGACAAGCACTGCAGTAAGTAGTAAGATAATCTACCATGTTTTTTCTACTTACACTTGTGTAATGAAACCATGACACCTCTTAACTTAATTACAATTTTCTTGAAACCATAAGTTAGGAATTAGAAAACCTTTAAGACAGCACAAAATTTTTTTTTCCATTAACTGGTTTCTCATTACCTGAAAACAGTTATAAATTTCACCGATTTGAGCAAAAAAAGAATTGCGAATGGTTGCATACGAGATTAAATATGTCAGTCTACAAGATAATATAATTTCGATTCTGCATGATTCGAAAAATCGAGATTAAGTGTTATTTAAGAAATAATTAAATGAAAACGAGATCTGAGCCATCAAATCGTGTAATCTTTGAGCACGCACAGATAAGGATTCTATTCTCTTGGAAAGTGGAATCCTTCTCTAGATCGCTAAATCTAGGAGATCAGATTTTCAATGGTCTGCAAATAGGTTAGAAACCTCGCAGATGAATTGCGCCTCGTTTTGCATACCAAAATATTTGCAGCGACAAAGGAACAAATGGTATTACCCATTTTTGAAAGTTAAAGTTGTCCTTCGGTGGTAATCGAAAGGTTCATGAAAGATGTTTTCAATGAATATTATGCGTTGTCCAAAATTAATATCACTTAATGAATAACATGATATCGAAAGGGTATGGAAAATGAAAAGAACCATCCATATTAGAGATCATGCGCATGTAGCTGCCATTCTGGAACCATTTCAGAGCGTAAACAAATTGGTGCTTGCTAGACTGACGAGTAAAAGGAGAATGAACGTGTTGTTCATGTTCCATTAGCCATGATAGCATTCGCAATATACTGCATAAAAAGCTCAACAAAGTATGAGCCCATTTGTTATGGCGGAATTTGACAACTAAACAGAAGACTGAAAATCTGAAGGTACACTTGAAACACTTGAAGAGGTTGCGAAAAGCAAATTCCTCATTTTTTATGCTTATTATTACAATGATTTATTTTCTTCAACCACAACACTAAACCTTGTAGAGAGCATGCATTGGAAGCATACGAGAGAGAGAAAAAATTTCTTCGATTACTGTGAATATTTTCTTAGATAACTGCTGCTGCAATATGGCGTAATATTTATTGATCGATACTTACTATCCTAGAAAATCTTAATTTCGTCGATGTATCATCCTTTTGCTGGATATATCTAGTTATAAATTACTTACTGAGACCTCATTATCCAATACCATGCAGCACAAAGCGGCTAAGTGTAAGAAAATTCGGTACTTTTCCGTTTCGCCGGCTCAAATCTCGGCAAGCAGACTTTATTGGCGACAACATACAGTATACACATAAAAAATATTAAAAAAATGTTAGTTCTAAGAATTCTTTTTTTTTTTTTTTTTTTTTTTTTTTTTTTTTTTTTTTTGAAGGCATAAACATTTTAATATCGCTTAAAATTTTATAAAAAGCCAATAAATAAAGTAAATAAATTTGTAAAAAGACATTAATTTAAAAATTTACTATGCTTTCATGGTTCAACCTCCTGATTCGCCGGTTCATATCACGTGACCCCAAGCGATCTCATCTCAGTTAAACTACTCCACAAAAATCTAATGCTCTCAGCAATTATCTACATTTTCAAGTTAAATCTTTATTTGGAACACAAGTTAAATGCAAGAAATATTTCAATTCGTACGAATAGCTTACTCAGAAATTATGTAAAACTGCAGTGCTTTACTTCGCTAATGCATTCTCATTAGAATTGATGAATTTAACCCTTGACTTTACCTTTTCTATATTTTCGGATTCGGGTAAGCTCTGTGATTGCATCTTAATAAACTTAATTACCGAAAATGGCCTTAGACATAAAACTGAACTATTTGATAAAAATTCTATGTAATTATATGCTAGTATTGAAAGAAACAATCAATCTGATAAGAAAAAGCTGCGACTTGTTTTGAAAATGAGGCGTAAAAGGTTACCAGCGAGAACATTCCGTTTGGCATCGGTTGTACCATTATTGACGACTTTATCGCTTGAGCCGGCAAAAACGGAAAAGTACCGAAAATTCTTAACAATACCTTATTACGAACCTGTCTCACTGCAGTAATCATATATTTGACCCATCGAAGAACACTTACGGAACATAAAAGTTTCATAAAATAATAAAACGCGGAAGATAATACGCTTCTTTACAGAATCTGTCCAGAGATATTTAGGAAGCTGGGATCTGTCTGCTGCTGGAAAAAAAAAAAAAAAAAAAAAACCGACAGGCAGGCAAAACTAGTAGTAGAGATAATAGAAAGGTAAGTTTATTACTTTTCTGCACATGGCTACAGATTTGTTTTCGTTTATCTGTTCCTTATACGTAGGAGAAAGTAGAAACTGCAGCAATAATGACTAATTAACCGATCATTCCTCAGCACAAATTCTATAGGTTAAAAAATTGCTTCATAAAAATGTCATTTTTATAATAATATAAAAGACAAATGCAGTAATTAATATCATTTAAATATCTTGATTCGTGTGTCATTTATCGTTTTCAACTCATTTTTGACAGCCATCTATCTCCTCGTTCCATCGAAGAGTTCAAATCTGATCCCCGAAAGATGAAACGTCAGTACCGAAGTCGCTTGGAAAAGCAGCTACGCCAATTAGTAGTTACTTCATTCCTAGGCGTATTTCTGTGCCTCCTCAAAATTTATGACGTTTTCGGTCCTCACAGCCTCTTCTCTGCGGGCATACGACCTACATTTATTTACACATGGTTCTGTTTCGAAACGATGAGCAGGTAAGGAACAGGTCACAGGCAACATCAAATACTTGTTAGGAATAATATCTAAACTGTCAGCTATAAACTTAAATATCTGAATGTATCATTACTGTATATCAAAATTTAATAGCAGCCTAATAATTCAAGATCTTGTTTGACTGAGAACCCTCCCGAGAGCTTAAAGAACTCAATGACTTTAAGAGAACACTTAATAAAAACATCCAAAAATATGACAAGTGTATAGTTAATAGTCGCCATGTCACTTGTAAATAATCTTAATCTGATTCATTGTTTATGATCTTTCAATACAATTTCCATCTTAATGTCCTTCATCTTCTTTGAATGGTAAAGAAATAGGATATTTTCAACCTCAGCTTCTGAAGAATGTTAAGAATATTTTAAACAAACTAAGAGAGAGAGATCAGTTTATGGTAGCTGTTTGAGCAGCGAAAAAAATTGTTTACGATGTAGGTTTTCCAGTTTGTTTCCTTTACCGTAAGTTGATCTTAAATGTGTAACCTCACAGCTTTTTCTATTAAAGTAAATGAATATTTTCTGCAATGAAATTCCAAGCTCCTGATTATGCTTTGTTTGAGGATCGAAGTTGCATTCAGTGCAAGAAAAAATTTCAATTCATTCTAAGATTTCAATATCTATGTGTGAATGCAGTTGTTGAAAGTTTGTTCTATTTCTATAGCTCTTTTTTATGCAGCTCCAATGAGATCTATGCTTTACGATTATCTGCATAAGAAACATGAAGAATTTTCCTTTTTTTTAATTTCGGGGACATTTTCACTTAGAGATTCTGTGATCCCCCAAAGTTTAGTGTCATTCATGCCGGTACGCTCAAGAATTATGATTCACAGTTTTACCAATTTTCGCCACTGCGTCTTTAGTCTTTGAATTTTAACACTTGATTTAGCATCACTCTGTAGAACAGCCCAAATTCATCAGTAATGACAACGTCTTTTTTTTTTAATTGGGGAATATTCAACTCTTTTTCTCATTTCTCGGTAACAACCTTTTAAGCACTGCCTAATTCTGTGATAATTTTTCCTCAAGAAATGTTTTTCTGCTTTTTGAACCTACCCAACCAGCCATTTGAGCCCAAATAGGTAGACATTCCAAAGTGTTTAGCAAGTTCATCGGTCTTTGTCTGAAGCATTTTTACAGGCATCGGGAAACTGCGCTTCTGTGAATAATGAGCCAATTCAGCAATTTAACAGCCCTAGTCTCGGCCTTTTCCAATTTTTCTTCGCCTCAAAATTTTTCCATGAGCACAAATTATGAAGTTTTCATTTTTCAATATGTTATCAAGCTCCATGCTCGTAAGAACCTATTCATTCTTCCCTTTTTACCTGAATAGAGAAAATTACAATCACCGCAGCATCAGCCTTAAACAGAGCTCACGCTTATAGCGGAGCAAAAGAAATGGAATGGAATCTAAAAGCTCATTCAAATTCTTTTAGCGGCTTAGTGGTCACTGCGACACTGTAAGGTCCCCTAAGGTGTGCTTATTGTATGCTCTTGTTTTCCAAGAACTGTGTGTTACACCTACTTCGCATAGTTTTGTTCAAACCATATAAAAAGATTGGGGTAGGGTGGGGGAGGAGGGTAAATATAAAAATAATTATGTTAAAATGCTTTACGTTTTAATAACTTAAACATGCAGGTTTTAGCTAAAATATTCCTAATCTTTAAAATTAAAGCAAATTTTAAAGATTAGGACTCTTCCAACTAGAACTTGCAAAAATTCTAGAAAGAATCACGGAAAAACACACACAAAAAGTTATAGTCGAAGATATCCATATAAAATTCGTTATATCCAATTTTCCTCCATTTGAAGTTTCGCTATAACTGTATAAAACAGCATTAAGCAAATTGAATAAAACTAAAATGCTTATTCCTTAAGTCAGGTTTATAGCCCAGTACGCCTATATTTTAAAAAATTTAAAATACTAATAACTATTAATTATTTAAAGAAATATTTATTAGTTATATATATATATTCATTGATTTCTATAAATATATAATAATTTATTGTTTGTTTATTACCATGATATTACGATATACGATATACAATTTTTGCCCTGTATTGCTGAAATGTATAAATATATACTATTTATATGAGATTTCTAATGCCTTTTTTCTCATAGGATAGTAGAATTCACGATGGCATATGCGATGGTGTGCGTGTGTCAGCAGTCAATTAAAAGTCGTTATTATTACATTCCCAACTAGACTTTCCTTCAGCAGTTGGCCAATGTTCATAACACCATCTCAGCGTTATGCTTTTATGTTTTAAAGATAAAGGTACCTGTATTATCCTCACTGTGAGCCCTTTCCAACGAAGATATTACGCCATGACTCTCTCGTCCAGATCCTCATCTGTCCCGAGTAACCAAAACATTTGCATTTGTCTGTTGCTGTGATCTTGCAAACATCACATTTCTAAATCTGGTGCAGTGATAACCCTTCTGTACACTATAAACAGATACGCAAGTCAGCAGAAATAATGCCGGAAATTTAGGCATGTATTAGATTATATGTTAGATTTAACGCAAGGCTGAGTCACTAAAAAAATATTTATATTATTCTCTCGATAAGAAGAAAATGAGGACTTTTGATTTTCCAAATACAACTGTGGTATACGCATTAGCACACAGAAATAATAACTCTGTTGTTAATTTAATCATATGCAACAATGAATATTACCAATTTTTCCGTAAAGCTGAAAAAGTATATATGACTATGTACAATCCATGTACTAAAGACAATATGTGTCTCAGTCCTATAAATCCAGTGTGAAACATAATCATATTTTTCTCAGTCAAGTTAGAGTCATACCCTCATTTATTAAATATTATATTTATTGAAATAGTTTTTACTTCTTTCTTTTAAATAATTTAGGCTCGGATATGTGTGTAAACATTGTTTTTGTCGAGAAATGGAACAAAGCTGAGATAAATACATATATAAAATATTTTACAAATTATACCATTCTGACTTTTCGAAAATTCTTTCCATGTTCTGTTTAACACAGCGTGCATCATTTTATCCTAGCATTCAGCATTCAAAGCTCAAAACAGCTGAAGCGCAAACGCGACTGTTGCGCATAATTTCTAAATTAAATGCGAAAACGTGATGTGCGTATTCATTGGCTACATAACATGTACGGCGAGCTTTGACATAAACATAACTGACATGTTTCATAATCACGCGATTACCATAAGATCATTATTCTTTCAAGCATGCAACATCAAATGCTAGCAATAATGTTCAAGTCAATATTTTATTTGTAGGAAACAAATAAAACACTAGAGGAACTGTTGAATTCGTTAGATGAAATTTAAGGGGACATAGGACGCTGAAATTAAGAATTGTTAGCTTCATTTTGTTTTGCAGTACTTCATAAATATGTATATAACATGTATTTCATGTGAATGCAGATCCATGACAATGGCATTAGGATACAGTGTTGTTCATAAATACGTGAATAACTTTAATTAGAATAAATTACCAATGCCAAGTTTCATTACACTAAAAGAGTGAACCTTTGCTTAGTTATTAGTCCAAAGGGGCTTTGTCCCTGAAGGACTATTGTTTTCGTTTTGTGATTTTGCGTTGCATCACTATAAATGTCCGTTTCACTTTTCAAACTTTTGCCACCAAATGTTAGAGTCCCGCATTATATTTGAAGAAATTAAATAATGAAAAATCTGCATCAATGTAGGTATATTTCTCGCATTGTGATGAAACAACGGTACATAGAGCCATCGCATTTTGAATGACGTAATCCTACTGCGAATATGGGCATGTGGAAGCCCAAATTTGAAATTCGGAATTTCTTTTATTGTCAATTTCATATTTTGTAAAACTTTAACGAATTTTTGATTAACAAACTCAACGATTTCAAAGCGAGCAATGGCAACACTGTACGGAGGGGGAGGGGAACCTTTTTATCTCCAGCGCGCTGAACTGTGTATCGGAAATTCTAAAGATATGCTCATTTTAAAATTATTTTGCGACATTTCCGTTGAACTGAATTTTATGGAAGGTAACACACAAGACGTTGAAAAAAACGCCCCTTTGAATGTAATTTAAAATCTGAATACTTTCAGATTTTTTTTAAATTTTTTATTTACTTACTTCACGAATGTTCAGCGTATCCACTTTTGCTAGTAGGGCATATATGCGTGCATCATTTGTTGGGGGGGGGGATTTACTTGGACGCTTTTGTCGCAGTTGAGGCCGTTATCGAGGTCATTTAGAAAATATCTCAATGAAAATTCGTCATTAAGAAGAACAGGATACACAGAATGGGGAAAAGACGCATTGATGTGGTAGCCACCGCAGTCTTCGGATTTAATCCCACCCGACTTATACAAGGATACTTTCTTTTCAACTCTACCTCTTGCTTTAGGATCTTTTATAACTGTATGAGGAAGGTATAGTATAAATACCAATACTGTGACTCAGATCGATCATGATCTTGGAATGAAACGGTTTACGGTTAAAATACATAGCATCCAAAAGTTAAATACATAACATGCACAGAACGGTTTAAAAACACAAGGTAATTTAAGCATAGTTTTTAATTTTCAAAAATCTTTGACAAACGAAGAACGGGAATTTAAGTGTCCCCTGTCCCCTTAATGGAATTTAAAGATTAAACGTTTCAAACATATTTTCTTAACAAAACGTTTATTCAAAGTCTTAAATATGTGACTCAGCCTTAAATCTTGATATCGGAATTCATAGGTAAGAGAAGAATTTATTCAGTTACAGTGGTTCTTAGAAACTTGAGTATTTAAACTTCAACACGAAGAATAAGCTCCACAGCGAGACATTACATATTTATATGTTTGTACAGTCTTCAACGTTGAATGCTTGTAAATATTTACGAAGTTGTCGCAATATATACTTATATTATATATACATATATAAAGATATCTTTTTCTACATGTGGTTAGCCATAAAACTTGTACCTAAGAAACAGGTGAGAGATTAAAATTTATAAATAGTTCATATTGCATGCATTGCTGTATCCATAATATAGTCATATTGTTACCCATTATTATCTGTTTGATGTTGAATAATTTGACAGCATTTGTTCAGAAGTTTAGTTTTCTAGGAATTAAGTTAGATTTTTATCTTCAAGTCCTTTTTTCTTTAAACTCAAATAATCTTTTGGATCTCTTTTTCAAATTAACTGTATTAAAATATCATTAGAAACTTGTATATAATTTTATATTTTATTTATATATCATTTTCTTACAATTTACGGAGTTGTAATAATCTTAGTTTACTTCTTTTATATATGATCTCTGGAAGCTATCTAATTTAATTTTCCAATAATCATTTATAATAATAAATTATTGTTATTTATTTATTATATTATACAGCGTACTCTCGATTATCCGGGCTAATGCTGGAGAAGCAGGTCGCGGATCATCCAAACTATCCATTTTCACGAATATTGTAAGCGTTTATTTCTTAAAAAATCGGTAATATTACATTATTTTTAAAAGCCTGCCAATATTCATCGGATTTCACGCCGTATTTTTTGAAGTGTTATTTTATCATTATATTCGAATCCCCTTTAGTCAACAAAGTCCAATACAGTTTCAGACTAATTAATTTTCAGTATTTTCTTTGCTTGTATTTTAGTATCACTCTCTGCCTCTTTTATTCTTCTGACATTTGGAATGATATTCGCATCAAGCTCTGAAACCCCAGCTCAGTCGAATCGTTCCTCGATCTAAACATTCCTCGATGCTTTCCCGATCGAAAGAATTTTACATTTTAATTTTTTTGGCACACAACTACATTTATTGCCTTGACTTCTTTACCAATCAAATTTCTTATTTCTATGTTAGGCAGTTCTTTCTACGTAACTGAACCGGTATTATTAGTCCAAACGGGCAACTTGCCCTGAAGGACTATTAATTTGGTTTTGGCATTTTGCGTCCAAAACTTTAAAAGGCTGTATCACTTTTCAAATCGTTGCCACCATATATTATCGCCCTGTATTATATTTAAAGAAATTAAATAATGAAGAATCTGCATAAATGTATGTATGTTTCTCGCACTGTGATGTGATAAAACAATACCTAGAGCCATCAAAATTTGAATAACGTTATCTTCAATAGAATATGGGCATGTGGAAGCACTAATTTTAAATTTGTTTTGTTATCGATTTCTGATTTTGTCACTTCAACGAATTTCCGATTAAAAAAACAAAACGATTTCAAAGCAAGCAATGGCAACAATATACGAAAAAAAAATTTTTTTTTTTATCTCGAGCGCGAGACTCTGTATCGGAAATTCTAAAGATATGCTCATTTTAAAATTATTTTGCGATATTGCTGTTGAACTGAATTTTATGGTTTAAGTGTGAAGAACGTGATATTTAATAAATAAAGGTAACACACAAAATGTTTAAAAAAAAAAGCCCCTTTGGACGTAATTTAAAATCTGAAACCTTTCAGTTATTTATTTTTTATTTCTTTTTGGAGGGGGAGAAAGGAGTTACTTTTGATTTGAAATTTTAAATCAATTTTTAAAGAATAAGAAAAAATTATGCACGAAAATACGTAGGAAACAAAAAATATGCTAAAGATAAACTGAAATAATGCCTGCGACTATGCAGATACAAAACGAATTGTACAAAGTAACCGTGGACAGTAAAACCTAAAGTCGCATTTTAACGGTTTTTAGAGCATGCTCAGACTTCTGCGTGTTCGTTTCGAGCACAACGTTGAGTTTGCGTGCGTGAGCACTGCCACGCACGGATAATCCGTACCCGGACAATCGGGAGTATTCTGTACTTGTAATTAGTATCCTTCCAAATCTGGTCTAAAATCCGCTTAAAATGTGTCTTCAATAAGATCCTGCGAACAAATGCTGTTTTTTCTTTTAAAAATGCTTCATGCAAATAAGTAATTCCTTATCATAAAGCACCTAGTAAGAAATTTATATGAAACCCTATAATTTTCACCTACCAACAACACATTCTTTCCTATTATATGCACTTCAATAATTTTCATTGTCATTTGTTATTTTATTTATTCTTTTCCCCCAAAAAATCTGATTTCTTCAAATTTCTAGTTACCATTTACATTATTATCGAACCTGATGTGATCATACTATAACGAAACAATAACGAGGGAACAAATTTTCATTCCCCAGTAAAGCATCATTGAAATTTTTATTTAAAATTCTATAATGGACTATTTTAAGAGGTATAATGAAATATATATATTTTGTGAAAATCATTCTTTGTTTGTATGGAGTCTTTTTGATGAAGTTTCAAAGCTTCCAGCAAATAAGTCAACTGGCAAAGTTCAGATGTCACAGTGAGTCTGTGTTCACAGTGTTCAGATGTCTGTTAACTAAAATGTAGCATTTAATGTGAATAATGATCCCTGAAGTATTATAGACAGTTCACCACGCTCTAGTTAGAAATCTATCTAGGTATATGTGTAGATTTGATAGAAATCCTAAGCCATATACTTGTCTAAAAAGGAAGAAAGAAGAATAGATTAACATAGTATTGGTTTAGCTGAGTACACAGGAAGCATTAGGAGAACGGAATATTTTTCTAATAGCTCTTTTCTCTTTCGGAAAGAACTTTCAGCATGTTAACGACAGATAAATGAAATCAATAATTTGCAGTTATAATGGAAATGAAATAGGCAACTTCGGCAACTATGATCGTAAACGAATAGAATCGAAGTGATGTAATGAATTCCAATTAATATTTCCCTCTAAATGCATAAATGCACTTATATTTTAATTACAGATTTGATATTAAAACTAAATCCTTTATGGAGTTTAGTATTTAGTAAAATTCTAGAATTATTTTAATATTTATTATTAAAAAACTACGTTAATTACGTAAAACTAATTTTGAGAATCGCATTATTTTATTCCTGTGTATCATACAACGAACTAAATAACGACAACAAACAATATATTTGCATATTGAATAATAATTCAATGTTGTCAGAATAAATAAACGTTAAACAAAAATTTCTGTTAGAAATGCTGGATCTAGGAAAATTCATAAAACATAATTTTCAATTATCAACTTGATTCAGACATTACAAGAAGATTAAGATTTTGATAGCATAACTGTCAACTCTACAAAACTGTAAACTTTAGAAAATCTTAATAAAATAAATAGGATTTTCTTTGCTTGAAAAAACTTAAATAAATGGCTTTTGCTTTTACTAGTTGAATATTCATTCAAAAATAAGCCTTTCCTAGCACAACATTTCATTCAAATTTTACACTTCAAAGTAAAAGCTTTACTGTTTTAGCAATGCTTCTTGCTTAAATAAATTACTTTATTTGTTTTAATAAAAGCTTTCAATTTTAATTACTTTAAATAAATACCAATGATCCTATATAAATATGTTACTCTCAGAATATAAGACAACAAAAATATTTTATGAAATGTTGAATAGGTATTAAGTATGAAGCTATTATATATATATATATATTCAAAACTCGTATCCAAGGTAAGAATTTTGCGCCGTGGAGTAAAACATCTGTGTTTATTGACTTGTCCCTGCCCACGGCTTCTACCATTGCATACATCTTAACCCCTTTTTCTTCATTTCATTTCCTTGGCTTTTCCGTCTGGCTCTAAGTCTTAACCAGAAATGA